TAAGGAATCCAAATATTTGTATAGATTTGTTGATTAAAATAGAGAAGGAATTGAATAGTAAGAAAACAGGCAGAGTTAGGGTTAGACAAAATTGTAAGAGGATCATTTTTTGTTAGTTACACAACAGGGATTGCCCTAGTAAAATTTTAAGATATTGCAGGGGCGCAATACATTGCAGGTGCAATAAAAAATAAAAATATAAAAATATAAAAGAAATAAAAAATAAAAAATAAAATGAAATAAAAAATAAAGAATAAAATAATAAAAAATAAAAAATAAAAAAGATAAAAATAAAAAAAAAAAATAAAATAAAATTATAAAAAAAATAATAATAAAAATTAATTATAAAAAAAATAATAATAAAAAATAAAAATGCCGTTTATTGATGATAACGTATATCATAGAATCATAGTCACATAGATATAAGGCAACATAAAGTTAATTTTTCGTTTTCATAAACTGATGTTCCAAGATTCCAGTCGGCGGATCGGATTTTTTTTTAATCTACTGTAAATAAATAGCTCATGTGGCAACGCAACGTTAATTTTCGTTTGCATAACGTGAATCAGAAAATTTAGACTATTTGTTTTTTTTTATCGGATCTATTGGGTAATTGCATAAAGTTAATACCTCTTCGGGTTACACCAGATAAATTTACGGGAAAATTTGGAACTATCGGAATTAAGAAAAAAAGAAAGAAAATTGGGTCCACGGATTATGCAAAATGAAAATTTAATTTTGCGTGGCCCAAAGTTTAGATACTTTCGCAATTGGGATCTTTGCTATCAAAATGACCCTCCGAGGCTATGTCGATTTTGTGAATAAAAAATAAATTTGCCAGCTATCTAATAATCCAATTTGAATAAACTTTTTTTTTATTTTGTAAATATCAATAGAATCTACAATTAAAAAAAAATTCATTTAAATTGGATAACTAGATGGCTGGCAAATTTAATTTTATTCACAAAATCAACATAGCCCCGGAGGGTCATTTTGATAGCAAAGATCCCAATTAGTGTTTTGACCCGTTATACTGACGAGTATTCCCAGCCAATCGCTGATGTTTGTTTATATCGGATAAAATAGATTGTTAAAGTTTAACATATCCTATTTTACCCGATGTAAATAAAACATCAACGATTGGCTGGAATACCCGTCAGTCTACCCGACGGGTCACCCGGTTTGAACGGGTCAAACACTATTCGCAACGACCTTTCATTATGTTCTTTGACGACCAGTGTTGTGCCCATTGGAGAAATTTGGAAAAGTGAGATCAAATTAGCTCAGGTTACATAGGTTGTGCACAATGAGTGTTTATTAAGGATTCGGATTTAATGTTAGTGGGTTATTAAGGAATGTATTTTAGTTGACATGTAAGGTCAAATACGTTATTACTTCATTTATCATATAAACGCCAGATTTTTTATTTATTTATTGGTCTAGGTGTCATATTTATAATTTTGAATTGCCATGATTTGAATAGTGACAATGTGCATGAAATTATAAAATTATGCGCATGGTTTCTTACAATGCCGGCAATGCTGGTAGCGAAATTTCAATAGTTCCGAAATATTCCGAAACTCAAGAAATTCTGAAAATTTCCGTGTGCATTTCGCATGATCCATGATTTCAGACCAAGATCTGTGATTTCAAACCACACACAGCCATTTCATTACAATAGTGTTAACAAATATAGTAAGAAATATTAATACAATATAGAAAATATAACAGAGTTTAAACACAAAATTTTAGTAACACTGATTATCATTTAATCTGTTCTGTAAAAGATCGCAAAAAATATATACATATAACGCAGAAACATATTTTCAGATCTAATAAAAAAAGTAAATGTGAAAACTTTTTATCAATATTTAATATTCCCTCGGGTTTCTTTTACATTCGATCAAAGAACGCGTAGCAACGTAACAATAGCAATTAAATTCGTAATGTAGCACAAAATTAAAATTATCGAAATCCAATCACTATATCGATCAAACTCAAATTTTGCGTAACAATTTGAATTTTGATTAGGATTTATAAGATAAGGATGAAAATCTGAAATGCAAATAGCACGACACGATCTAACTATTCACGGCAAAAAGTTGATATGATCTGCTTTATACGTGTACACAACCATTACACTACATACACTGATACGTATATAAAAATGGATCGAGTTACGCCTCCCGGCGTCTCTTTAGAAAGGTGATAAAAAAAAAAAGGATCGTGCCATTAAACAAATACATATCGATATGTATGCGCATACAGAATAACTAAAAAAGTATTAAGGCAAAAATAATTTAAGTAGCACAGTAGTAGTCTCAAGCCTGTTGTATCACAATCGAATTAAAAATTATCTGTTATTGTTTGTGGTACTATTAATCACGAAATTAATTACTGAAATTAAAAATGATTGTTTGTGGTACTATTAATCACGAAACTAAATACATAAATTATGAAATAATTATTTATACGAGATCACCGAAATTAACTGGCGCTTTTTTTTTTTTTGCTAAAAAAAATTTTTATGACTAATTATTTAAATTATTAATAATGAGCTCGCCGTACGATACTAATCCTGAACAGCAGGAAAATAATTTGACTAATGTTACAAATACTCCTACTTTAACAGATGAGAATAACAAAGAATATGAGGGAAAAAATGAAAAGGACCATGATTTAAGCCTTATCAACTATACAAACCATGCTGAAGAAGAAAAAGAAGCGATTGAACCCCCAAGTAATGAGTTTGAAGATAATTCAAATGTTCCAAAATTATCTTATTTAAAAATATTTTTACTTAATCTCTGGTTTGGATTTAATGCCTGGGGTGGTCCTGTGGCTCAAATAGCATTAATTAAGGATACATTAGTAATTCAACAAAAATGGATTACAGTGCCAAGGTTTAATAGAGTCTTTGGTGTTTATCAAATTTTACCTGGTCCAGAAGCTACTGAATTATGCATGTTTTTTGGTTGTCTTTCCGGTGGTAGATTTGGTGGTTTTCTTGGTGGTTTAGGTTTTGTGTTACCAGGTTTTATTATGATTTTATTATTTTCTTATATTTATGTTATAGTTGGTCTTGACAACGTTTATTTTAATGCTTCTTTTCGAGCTTTACAACCAGTTGTATCTGCGATGGTTTTAAGAGCTACTCACAAAATTGCTGAACATGCATTAATATCACATACAACTCATCGTTTTAGTTATTGGTTATTTGGTATGGCAATTTTAGCTGCAATTCAAACTACTGTAAACTTTAATTATTTCATAACTTTAGGTGTATGTGGTATAGCATTTATGTTTATAGAAAGAAAGTTATATTGGATTGGATTATTTGTAATTTTATTAGAATTAGTTGGTTATGGAATTTATATTGGAATTAATAAAGCTATTCCATCACCTAGTTCTCTGGGTGTTGGTGTAGCTAAAGCTGAACCTGGTAGTGGACCTGACCCTGGTCACACCTTTGCTTTGGGACTTGTTGCTGGCAGCTTATCTTTTGGCGGTGCTTATGTAAGTTTTATTATATATAATGGCTATAATTATTTATTTTATTTTCTTAACAAAATAATAATTTTTTCTTTATTTAATTTTAAAGGTAACAATACCATTTTTACAAGGTATACTACTTTATTTTGTTATGTATTCTTGATTAATTTATATTGAAAACTTTTAATTGATTGTTTGACTAAAATATCTTATAGCTGAAGCAGTAACAATAGGACAATGGATGACAGTGTCGACATTTCTCGACTCTATTGCTATTGGGAACATAGTTCCCTCACCATTAGTAATGTTCTCCACATTTATAGGTTTTCAAGCTGGTTATCTTTGGGGAGGTCATAATATAGGCTTTGGCTTGCTAGGCGGTTTACTCATAGCCGTAGGAATGCTTTTTCCGTGCTTTATGTTTACAATATTAGGGCATAATATACTTGAAAAATTAGTTCGCAATAAATTTCTAGCAGCATTTTTTGACGGTATTTCTGGTACAGTTGTTGGAATTATTGCTGTAACTGCAATGAATTTACTCAAATCTTCAATAACATCTACAACAGGTCTTGCTGATGTATCACAGCAAGATTTACCTATTGTTCTAGCAAAAAATAGTAGTATTGCGGCTGTGTTATATGTTTTGACTTTGGCTGCTTTATATGGATTTAAAAAACCATATTTATCCTTATGGTTAGTGATTTTTGGTGCTATAGCTGGACAATTTTTATTTGTTAATAATTAATAGTTTTATATAAATTAATTTATTTTATAAGGTTTTTAAGTAAAAGTAATTTTTTATACACATATTATGATTATAGGATATAGTAAAAATAAAAACTTATAGATTTTTTTAATTTAATATTTTTATAATTTTGTTAACATCATAACACTAATAAAACAGTATTTTAAATATTACCTCCAATTTTGTTCGAACCTGGAATTTAAGATCCTTAATCTAGCTTGCATTTGCCTAATATATAATGTTAATATCGTTATTATGGAATTAATGTTAAAAAGGATGGAAAGACGCTGATGGATCATACAATGTTCTATATTGTTATCATTGTGAAATCGATGTTGGAAAGGATGAACGACGCTGATGGATCGTTTAATGTTGGATCTTTGTTATTATCGTGGAATTGGAGTTGAAAGGATGGACATAAGATGGGTGACACATTTGGAAGATAATTTTAGATATTGTGGAATTGGTGTTGAAAGGATGAACTTAAGATGGTGGTGATGATGGAACATATAATGTTGAATATTGTTATCTACATAGAATTGGTGCCGAATAGGATGAATATAAGATAGGCAACATTAACAGTCGCACGATTTGTCACGTGATTATCATGGGAAGTGATTTTAATATAGATTCTAAAATGATCTACGTCATATAAAAAAAATCAATTTCATATAAAATGAACAAAATCGTCAATTTTCGTACCATTTTTTGCTTAAATAAATATATTTTTATACAAAAATAAAGCCAGTATTACACAAAGATATATAAAAATTATCTTCTGGCTGGTTTTGAACATGACTTATAACACTCATTTTAAAGAATCTCAACAATAAAGTTAGGTACGCCCTTAGGTGTCAATTAGCAGCGATCAACGTTGTGATCAATGTTGTAAACGTTGTTTTATTAAATAGGCGCTAATGTTTTAGAACAGACCTTCTTTGACAGTGCCAAAACAGAAGTATAAACCAAAATCAAGACATTGAAAGTATGGCTGAAGAGATGATCCTAATTGAATGATTTAAAAATGAATGTCGATCAGGAAAAATTTCATAAGCATACTTTTAATCGTTTAAACTGACTTAACGGTTAGTTATTTACTTAATAGCATTGGTTAATTATATAGGAAAACTATTAGCAAAGCCAGGACAATCAACACTTTCTTTTGCGAACCCATTTGTAATAAACTTTGGGCAAATAAACTACAAGTTTTGTGTTTGTATAATACAGAGATTATGATGATTTTTTAAGAATCACAGTAATTTTATATAATAAATTTTTTTTAATTTTACAGCTTATCATTAAGATCCAAATTGAGAGGTGTGGCAACCTAGTGTAGTGGTCTAGTTGTCACCCTCTCCAAGTGGCAGGTCTAGAGTTCAAATCCCACGGA